CAAGTGCTCTTTCAATGTAGCTGCAGAGCACAATGCTTTACTCTAACCTTCACTAAGTATTGCCCTGTTGACTTTTCCATTACAGTAATCTTGTGGTCTAATTTTAAAGCAATTTCAGTTCTGGAATATGCCTTCTTTCCTTATTTGAGAAATGTTATTATGTATCATAAACATGTGGATTTGAATTGCTTAGACCGTAGTTCAAGGAAATGAAGCCAAACATATTTTGCTTTGCTGCTTTGCAGTCTATGAGTAACTTTAAGGGTGCAATACCTAACAGAAGGGAGAACATACAACCTAGAAGTGCTCCTTTTATTGTACAGCAATTGACTGAAGCTGAGAACTTTACAGCCTATAGAGCCGTGCTAGAAGCAATTGTATCTATAAAATATCTTGACAACTGTAATGCTTTGGCCCCATGTAATGCCTTTGTTTTCATTTGTAAATATAAGCTAAAAGGTAAGAGCTGCACCTGGAAAAATTAAAGGACAGAAAGTTGTGCCACCTCTATGCTACTTTTGCCAATATTGCAATGTTATTAAGCGTGATGTTTTCAGTAACACTTAACTAGTAATACTGGAACATTATTACACTAGCAAAATCTCTGTGGCAGGGGTGGGCAAAATACAGCCCGTGGGCAGGATCTGACCCACCAGGCCATTGTATCTGGCCTGCAAAGCCCCTAAAATATTCATAAAATTAATATTTATCTGATCGTCGCTGCCTGTCAAAGATTACAGGAGACAGGGGCAGTAGGACCCAGGGAGAGCCACCAGCAGGATCAAGCAGCTGCAGAAGCAAGGCTGGCCTGACCCACCGCACACCCCCTCCCACCTTCAACCCCCTGCCACCCCGAGCCCCAGCTAGAAGCCTGTGCCTAACAGTCTTCTGGCCTGGGGCTGTTTCTACCTCCCCATGCTGAGGGAAATACAGATAAGGAAGAGAGAGGGGAGGGAGGCAGGGGAGGACTGTGGGCAATTGCCCCAGTCCTCAGGGTCGGCTGGGCTGGCTCCTGAGGTCCCGGCACTGCAGCTGGGAACCACCTAGTGCCAGAGTACAGCAGGCAAAGGGGAAGCAGGGAAATGTCTGCAGCAGGCAGGGCAAAGGGGCAGTATGTGGGCATGCAGAGCAGAAGTTGCAAGAGCCGGGTGGGAGCACAGGGCCCACACCGGTGCAACAGGGCCGGCACCGGCAGGGCCCAGAGCAGCATGCAGGAGGAGCATGGGGCCAGGCTGCCAAGGGCTCTATGGAGCTGAGCTGTGCTGCTTAAGCAGGGAGAGGAGGAAGCCCGCCCAGCTCCATAGAGCCCGTGAAACCCTGGCCCCGTGTTCCTGCCACTCCCTCTGGGCCCCTCTGGTGCTGGCCCTGGTGTACCGGCGCAGGCCCTGTGCTCCTGCCTGGCTGTCACTGTGCTTTGCACACCCACTCACTTCTCCTTCCCTGGCCCACCACAGCCATTTCCCTGCTCCCTCCTCCTGCCACACTCCAGCATCATGTGGTTCCCAGATGCAGTTCCAGGACTGCAGGAATACCTGGGACATGGTACCGGAGCAGCCAGGGTGGGGACAAGGAAATGGCAGAAGGGCAGCAGTGGCAGATGGGGGGGGTAAGTGACAGCAAGGGGGAGCACAGGGTTCACACCAGTGCCCCAAGGCCAAGAGCAGCAGAAGCACAAAGCCCGGGCTTGCAGGAGTGCTGGACAGGACTCTGCAAACCCTCCCCCTCCACAAGCCACAACCCTCCCCTCACACAACCTCAGCCTCCCACAAAACCCATACCCACCCACACCTATCCACCCCGCCACAAATCACACACACACACCCTCCCTCATACCCCACATACCCACAAACCTATACTCATCCGTCCACCTACACCTCCCACAATATATAAGAGTAAGACTTAATTTTAAGCTATTGTTTAATAACCTCCACGTACACTACACAAACATGTGTAAATCAGGGCAAGAATGTTTTTTGACATGAAATTAATGAATGTTGTAGAACATGTTTGATTTTTAGAATATAATTTGATATTTTTCTGGTTCTGAGATGGCAAAACCCCTTGCTAAAAGGAGCAATTCCAAGGGGCAAGAGGAGGGACTTCTGGTGGCAAAGGTATGGGGTTTGAGGGCGGGACTTCTGGTCCCAAGATGACAACTAGGGTGTGGGGCACCTGTCAAGGGGCGGGGCTACCCATGCAGACATCAATGGCTTGCAGAAACTCAGTAAGCGGCCCCCCACCTAAAATAATCGCCTACCCCATGGAGTCACAGTTATGTCAGCATAAAAATGCTTTTACTTGTAGAGTTTATTTCATTCCTGAAACCGGCAGAGGCTAAACCAGAAAAAATACTCTCTTGGCAGCATACACTGCTTCTCTACTATAAAGAGTCACTGATATACATATAACAGCAAACCTCTTTTGGTTAGAGGCTAGGGAAGAACAGGCCTTCCTGCTTAGCTTACCTTCTGGGAAGAACTGCCTGACACCTGACAATAAACATTTTTTTCTGAGAACTAAATTTGATTTATTTAGATAAACAGAGGTAGCAAGACCATCAGCAATGCAGCCATTTGGTGACTCCCAATAATATTAAAGTGCTTGCACGTCAAAGAACAGAAAAATCTGGATCCCCTATACATGAATATGTAGAAAACAAACATGCATAAGAACATCAATCACCAAAGTAATTCAAATTGCTCCGGATAAGCCCCATCATGTCCGAACAAGGTGAGTCACACCATACTGGAGCTCCTGAGGCATGTACTATTCACAGATCCTCAACCTTTAGGTACATATATACATGCAGTGAAACATAGAGTTCAAGTGGCTGATATTATTAAATTACCCTTGTTGGGCCTCTGGCCCCAGTTCATCCATTACCTAATTCATCCCTATTCAGCAAAGCACTTAGGCATGCCCTTAAAAGGCTGATTTTCAAAAATCACAAGTGGACTTTCAGTGGAAGTGGAGCACCTAATCTAACGTAAAAGCCCTTTGTCTTTGAAATGTTCCCTTTTAACTTCAGTACGTCTAGAGTTAAGCATGAGCTTTACTGTTTTGCTGAGAACTGATGATATGAAGCATGTGTTTAAATACTTTGAACTGGGGCCCAGCACAAGTATCAGCATAAAAGGTAAGAAGTATCATTAACCTATTGAGACTATCCTGGTGCAAACTGTCCAAATACCTTTATTTTAATCAGCTGCCCAAGTGGAAAATGAAAAGCCAAAGAAGCACTTGTGTAAATTGCTTGTTTGTCTACGCATCCAAGAACGGTGTAAGATAAAAGAGGCATGAGCGGGCAGGTTTTATTCAGCCCCTTGCAGATTTTCTTGCTCTCTGTTGAAAATTTAGCTACTGGTGGGTAGGAGACTGGTGGAATTCCACCCATGGGATGTGTAATACCTTATTTTTTAATCTCCTTTCACACGGAAACTACTAATGATAGAGCTGCCTGGCTGATTTCCCTAGCACTTGCACTAACTTGTCTTCTCATTTACTCAACCCATAATGTAATTGCTCTCACTGTTGTTGCCCTGATTCTTGACCTGACCCTCTTTTGTGTTGTCCAGGATCTTTCTGATTTATTCCAAGCACTTCTCCATGCTGTCCTGTGTATATAATGGACACCTTGCCTTAAAATATGTCACACAATAGCAGACACTGCACTGCTGGTTTCACAACAGCCTCACAGCAGCACATGCATGAAAATGTCCAGAGAACTCTTACCTGCTGATGGGGCAATGCAGTTCAGGGTTTCACTATTAAAAGTTTCGGGGCTATATCTCACAAATTGATATAATGATTTTGTTTGTTTATAATAATCTATTGGAACTGAAATCTTACCACATAGAAGCCATGTCTACATGAGATGCTGACTGTGGAGTAGCTTGTTACTACCGAGCAGAGCGTTGGGTAGCATGAAGTGTGATGCAGCACTACTGCGCAGTAGTAACAAGCTACTGTACAGTCAGTGTCATCTAAAAGGCATTTGGTGATGCCATTGCACAGAAACTCCACTTACTGCACAGCCATTTAGTACTTGTGTATACAAGTACTAAATAACTGCACAGTAACAACTACAGAGTCAACATTTCATGTAGATGCAGCTAAAAAGATTTTCCCCTTTAGTCTCATATGTGCTGGTTTTGTGTGGATTCAGTGCACCAGGCTGAATTTCGCTATCAGACGAGTTGCATCTTCATGGGAAGGTATCTAGGTTGTAGCGATATTGGTCTAGAGGAAAAAGCAATCAGAGCTCATAGTAGAGGTGATATCTGTTATGGACCAACAAGATTTTTGCAAAAAATACCCACCTTCAATTGCAAGCTTTTGGGCAGGAACACCCGGCATCAGGCATCAGAGAAAAGATTGTAACAGTTCTCCTGGGTAGAAATTAGAACTGTTACAATCTTTTCTCCAATGCCTGATGAAAGGTGTTTGTGCCCCAAAACTTGCAATTAAAGATTTTTTTTTGCAAAAATCTTGTTGGTCCATAACACATATCACCTCTACCATGAGCCCTGATTGCATCTTCATGGGAGAGATCATATAACCGCTATGAGTATCAAACCTAATTTAGATGGGAGGCACTGCTCCAACCAAGAGCAAGATAACAATGTTATAAAACCTTTTTATCCTAGAGAATATTGTACATTTCCAGTCAAACTCTCTCTCTCATAATCTAGACCACTACCCACAGAAGCAGCCATGCCTTCTGACATTGACTTCAGGAATGAAAAACCAATGCTCAACACATCAGTCATCCACATAACATTATTGATTTTAAAGTGTCTTGCATTTCTTCAGTAATAGTGCAATAATGTTTCTTTAGTAATATTAAAACAATATTGAATGATAATAGCATAGAAGTGTCTTATATTTTGTCAATAACATTTCCTTATAGCCCTGTCAGTAAGACAGCAAGCAGAAGTTGCAAAATATCCAATAACATTTCATGAATAGCTCATGTCTGACATTTCCTTTCTGAATGGCAGGCACTCGGATGTGGGTCTGTTGCCCAAACTGTTCTTAGCCATGGGGCCATGGGTGAGTCTATAACAATATACGTCGGGTTTGCAGTGGCAGTCACCATAGCAATCTATGTATCCGGAGGCGTGTCTGGTAAGTCATTTTGTACAGATTTTTTTACCATGAATTGTTTGTTGCCACATCTTTGACTAATTTATTTAGAAACTACTCCCATACCACAGCACTGCCACCAGGGACACATTTAGCACTATCAGGTTGTTATTCACACCATTATAGCAGAGGTCATACGAGTTTCCATTCATTCCCTGTCCTCTTGTCCACCCCTTTTATATTAACTATTTAATAAATTCTGCCACCAAATTGTCTTCTAGACAGGTCATGCTCATATTAAGATTTCAGCTGGCTCTTACTTTTCACCAGATAGCTACTTTGCACTAGTCAAAGCCAGCTAAACCACCATCCTGAGGAGTCCATTAGCAGAGCAGGAGTCTTAGGCAGCTGGGAAGATGCGTTAAGGCAATGGATAGAAAAGGCTTTTACAGTACAGCAATCTCCAAGTACTGCAGTGGTGGCCAGCTGGCACAGGGTAGCTCTGCAGCTGCTCAAACATTCAAGTCCAAACTGTCTTCCAGCTAATCCCACTAGTGGGATGCATAAGGTTGGGTTACAGACACCTTTGTGATTCCTCTCTCAATGTCCTGTCCAAGACAGACTCACTTACCCTGTGATCCTACATCTTGGGTCAGTAAATAGAAAGCATTTATTCCTCCACCCTCTACCCCCAGATTTACTCACTCTTCACAATCAGGACAGGAAAAAAGCAAAAAAGGCAAAAGGAATTCAAACTGAATTGTGTGGGATGCTCTTGAGAGTCTGGGGCTAACATACAAACCTACATTACACAATTCCGTAACATACAAACATACGTTATGTCATTCTCCCTTTCCACCTTGGTATTTTTAAACACACACAATTTATGTAAAATATGTCAAAGCCTGTAATGAACCTGTCACAGAGGAAATGCATGAATGTCTGCACGGAGCATGTCTCCTAGTGTCTTGCCCTGGTATAATATCCTATTCAACAAAAGTATTTGTGTGTATCTGCTGTTAGCTTTCTCCAACCCTTACAATGGATGCTTACAAGCTTGACCATGAAAAAATTCTGTTGCAGGTGGAGATTAGCTTGTCCTAGTTAAACTTAAAGGGGTCTTTGCCTTTTAGTTTTGGTAGCTGTAACCAGTTAGAGAGGGTCAAGTTCAGCCCAGCAATAAGCAGGTAAGTTGAGTTGCTTTGGAAAGCCTTGGTTTGGTAGTTTTTCTCCTCTTTTTTTTTTTTAATGCAGACAGACAAGACATTAAGATAACAAACAAGACATTAAGATAACTGACCAAAAGGAGGTTTCTAGGTTCATACCAAGCACTGATTCAATGCACTGTGAAACAGACAACTCACATTACCTCCACTGAGACAGATACGTGAGGCTCAATAGTATCACGCAAAGTTAATTTTGCAGCACAATTTGTCTGAATGCTGTTCTGTTATCTGAATGGGGATTAACTACAGCTGCTTCTTGGGATGTGGATAGTGCTAGGTTAAGTCTTCCAATGCAGCACTATGACACGAACCTAGAAAGACACAGTTAGCCAATAGCCATATTAGTCTGAAGTCAAATAGGGTAAGGTAAGGCTAAAGATACCCTGCCTAGAAAGCACATCTTCACTTTTGTTCCTTTGTACCTTTAGGGGATACTCTACTGACTAAAAGTTTAGGAGAGCAACTGTGTCAAGGCAGAATGGCTGCAAAAGTTGCAATGTAGTGCTTCAGGTGTTTCTCTCTTTGTTGAAGAATTCTGCAGGCAGTGCATTTTTTCCTATGTTAGAAGGGGGGCAGGTATTTCAAAAGCTACAAAGGTCTAACTGTGGGTTGTTGGTACACATTGTAAGATACCAACTTCCCACATTGCCTCATTAACAAGTCCTATTGTTCATTGGGATCTAGAATTCCCACAGCTAGGACCTGCTAAGATGTTTTGCTATGCTACTTTAGGAAATTCTGATTTTCTATAACAGAACAGGAAGCCTTCCTCTTCATACCATATTTAGGAAATTTTCTTCTCTTTCACCATCACAGAATTATCTACATCCCTGTCACTGGTGTGAAAATTCTTCAGCCCACATTTCTTCACACACTTCACCTTTCATACTACATCAAGACCATGTTTATACTTGCTAAAATAAGGGTGGAAACAACACTTTCTGAAACGTGTCAGTGAAGACGCTGCTGGTAGCAAAGGGACAAAGAATCTTGGGTCTGCTACAAGTCAGCTATAGGTCCTTCAAACAGGCTAGCTTTTTCCAGATTTAACTTCATCAGACATTTCTAAACTTGTTATGACCTTTCCCTGGTCATAATAGTCATTCCTGAATATACTTGTTATGCACAGATGGGGGACTGTATGATTGTTGAAAGAAGAGAAAATTGTTCATTTTAGACAGAGAAAGAAAGAACTGAAAAGAAGACCACTACATACCTAAATTCACATGAAGGGTTGTTAAATAAGCTGCCATCAATCTATTAGCTCTGTGATGAAGAATTTGAAAAACAAAGAAGAGTTCAGAATTAATTCAAGGCTGATGCTACTAGGTCACCATTTTGGAAACGATATAAGGGAGGTCTTTATCCTGCTTGTTATCTGTGTTTGTCTGTTCCTCATGTATCAAAGGTGCTTAGATTTCACAAGATGAAGACAGTGACCTGAAGTGCAAGCAAACAAATTTAGTACATAGAGGCCCTTTCTCTAATGCTACCCTCTGCCAGGCAAAGGTCATTTTCTTACATATATTATATATATATTTATTAAGAGGCAAGTGCCACCATTTTCTCTTATCTCAACATAGCTTTCAATGCAGATTTACTTGGACATTAAAGCACTGAATGGTTTTTTTTTTACATTTCAGTAAAATCTTAGCTTTTACCTAATTTACTTTTTTTGGAAAATCATTAAGTTTGCTTATTGATGCAAACTAAAAATACGTATTTCTTATTTAGCTACTGTACCCCAACCAAAAAAATGAGATTTACAGATACACACAACACTCCACCAATGTTGGTGAAAGGTTTCATAGTTTCATAATAGCCAGGGTCAGGAACGACCTGAACAGATCATCTAGCCTGACCCCCTGCCACAGGCAGGAATGAATGCTGGGTTCACAAGAGCCCAGACAGGTGATCATCCAACCTCCTCTTGAATTTGCCCAAGGTAGGGGCGAGGACCACTTCTCTGGGAAGTTGGTTCCAGATTTTGACACCCCTACTGTAAAATATTGCCTTCTGATCTCTAACCTAAACCTATTCTCCATCAGCTTATTACCATTGTTCCTCGTCACCCCAGGTGGTGCTGGGGAGAAAGGGGCTCTACCTTTTTCTTGTTGATCCCCCCGATGAGCTTGTAGGCAGCCACCAGGTCCCCCCTCAGCCTCCTCTTGCTGAGGCTGAACAGGTTCAGGTCCCTCAGTCTCTCCTCGTAGGGCCTGTCCTGCTGCGGTCTCAGCAAGTGGGTGGCCCTCCTCTGAACCCTCTCCAGGCTGGCCACATCCCTTTTGAAGTGCGGTGCCCAGTACTGGATGCAGTACTCCAACTGCGGCCTGACCAAAGTCACATAGAGGGGGAGCATCACCTCTCTGGACCGGCTTGAGATGCACCTTTGGATGCATGACAAGGTATGGCTGGCCTTGCTGGCTGTGGTCTGGCATTGGCGGCTCATGTTCATCTTGGAGTCAATAATGACTCCAAGATCCCTTTCCACCTCTGCGCTTTCAAGAAGGGAACGCCCCAGCCTGTACGTATGCTGTGGATTCCTTCTCCCAAGGTGCAGCCCCCTGCATTTGTCTACGTTGAACCCCATCCTATTCTCATCTGCCCACTTTTGTAGTCTGTCTAAATCTAGTTGCAGCCTCTCTCTCCCTTCAAGTGTGTCCACCTCGCCCCACATCTTAGTGTCATCAGCAAATTTGGACAGCGTGCTTTCCACCCCCTCGTCCAAGATGAAGATGTTAAACAGTGCGGGCCCGAGGACCGAGCCCTGGGGTATCCCACTGCTCACATCTCGCCAGTTTGAGTACAACCCCTCCACCACTACTCTCTGGGTGTGCCCCATCAGCCAATTTTTTACCCATCCAACTGTGCAGGCATCAATGCCACAGTCACTTAATTTACTGATGAGGACACCATCATCCAAGGATTTAGTTACTTGGTCATAAAAGGCAATCAGGTTGGTCAGGCAGGACCTGCCTTTGATGTTTGGGGAAGTAAATAACATGGCATAATATAGAATACAAGTCAGGTTTTCATAATTAAATTGTTGCAATTAACTCAAATGCAGGAGAAATTTCTTCCTTGTCAAAGTTGAGGTATACTCTTAAGTACTTGCACAGAAGCATCAATAAAGTATCAGAGCATCTCCCATTGGTTAACAATAGAATCCTCTACTCTCATAGAATCCTCTGGTGACATCCTCTGCTTCAGTGGTGCTCAACCTCAATAGCCTTACAGGTCATGAGAGTGGCAGATGATCTGGCATGCACAGCCATGTGATCCAGCCCACTGGGCTCTCCATGAGTCTAGAAATTTGGCAGCAGGAGAGTAGTGACAGCATTAATACTTGCCATAGCTCCGAGTGTAGTTAATGCTGCTACTGCTGCCAAATTTCCAGACCCATGAGGGACTCCATGGCTCTGTGGGCCAGAGGAGGAGCACCACTGCTCTACTTACATCCTCTAGCAGCTCCCCTGTCACATCCCCTCCTGGACTCTACATATACAGATGGAAGAGGCGTAAGGATGTAGGGTCAGGTTTATGAAATGGGAAACCAAGGATCACCTTTAGTCCTTAGGGACCACCATGAGTCAACACATTAGTGCAGCTAGGGAAGAATCAGCTCCCAGTCAGCCCCACAGTGGAAAGGGGGAACTTAAAGGTAACAACTCCATCTTCCAACAAAGGCAGTTTAGACAAAACCTAAAATCTAGACCAAGATTTGCAACAGATCAAATTAACATTACCCTTTAACCTTAACAAAGGCTTGTAAAAGAAAATGAATGTTCTACTGCAGTGGCCACCCCTGATCTTGAGAAGACAGAAGACTAATAAAATAGTTCCCTAGCCACCAGACCTAAGCACAAGGTCACATGTTCAAATCCAGTTCTTATTCTTACTTCTGTATCATCTCTATTATTGGTATTACTTTGTGATTTCTTTTTCAGGTGGTCACATTAACCCAGCAGTTTCATTAGCCATGTGTGTGACTGGAAGGTTGAAATGGATCAAATTACCGGTCTACATATTAGCCCAACACCTGGGGGCATTTATTGGAGCAGTAGCTGTCTTTAGTGTTAATTATGGTGAGTACAAAGTAGATGCACCAAATGGAAAGTTAGAAGGCCTCTCAGGGCCTAATACTTCAATGAGTCCTAAGCAGGTTCAGAAATCTAGCCACACAGTATGCATTGTAGGGCTAGGTCTGGAGTCACAAAGGAGAAAGAAGCCCCTCTCTAACCAATCCAGGACAAGTGTTTGTCTAACCTGTTCTTAGAACTTCCTTTGTTCTTCCTAAGGAAAGAGATCCTAAGCTCCCAAGCATTTTCCAACTGGTCTGAAACACCAATTCTAATATTATGAAAGCCTAAGTCTGTCTGTCTGTCTGTTCGTAAAATGCCTTATTCGCACTCTGATTGGCTGACAAACAGCCAATCAGAGTGTGAACAAGCATTCGAACAGAAGTTGGCAGTGCAGTGGAGCACCACCATGATGGTGGGGACACAGGGGACGGAGGTGGGGGGCGAGGCCAGCTACGGCCTGCACCCCTCCTCCCCCCACACTCCCTGGAGGCAGGGGCAATGGAGCAGATAGAACAGTGGGGGCGAGGCTAGCAGCCCTGGCCTCGCCCCCCCTCCGCCCTGCTCCCTGCAGATGGCAATGATGGAGCGGAGGGGGGGCGAGGTCACTGAAGCCTCGCCCCTCCCCCCTTACTCTTTGCAAGTGACGGCAGCAGCAGAGCGGGGTCAGGGGGGGCCCAAGCCAGGGAAGAAGTCGGCCCGCCATGGTGGTGGGGGGGGAGCAGTGGCCCTGGTCCAATGCAGCCCAATGTGGCATCAGCTGGGGGAAGGGAGGAGCGAGCCTCCTGGCCCGGACCCACTCCTCCCTTCTCCCCTGTCAGCTCTGAGCCCGCTCCTCCCATTCCCCCGCTGCCACCAGGTTGGCCCAGTCCCGCTGCTCCCCCATGCCCCCCTGCCACAGACGGTCGGCTTCACCCCACCCTCAGGCCTGGTCCTCCCCCGCATCGGGCCCAGGCCCACTCCTCCCCTCCCCCTGCCACTGCAGCAGGGAGGGGCAAGTGGCAGGGAGGAAGGGCAGGAGGGAGGGGAGTGGGAAGGGGAGGGGGGTTTACCAGTGGCTGTGTCCCGCTGCAGCAGCGGCCGTCACTACCACCACTGTGGTCACAGGCCCCAGCGGGGAGCGGCCACAGCCCCAGCCTCAGCCTGAAAGACAGGGGGAGGAGCTGTGGTCCCAGACCCGGCCCAAAGCAGCGGGGGAGATGCAGGGAGCAGCTGCAGCCCCACCCTGGCCTGAGGCAGCCAGACTGCCGTTATAGAATACCACCAATTAGTTCATCAAAAGTACCCACTATGATGGTAAGTCCCATGTAACTGAACCTCCCATGACTTCTTTGAGGTAGTTCTTTGAGATAGAGAATGAAGTGATGCCCCAGGCAGAGTGGTTAAATGTTACATAGCAGAGGCAAAACTAAAATCCTGGAACTTCAGGCATTTGGCTCACCTGCTTGGGCAATCTTTTAATTCATGTTATGACATGATGGAAGTAAATCTAATGATAACATAAATCTAAAATTTGTTGCTAGTAGTCCTCCCTGGCTAGATGAGTCCTCCAAGACTGATCATTTTAACCATTGCTTCTTCTCTGTTTCTGTAATCATGGTCTCCCCTCACCTGCACTTGACCCCACTGATCCCTTTGGGTCTGAAATTCCAGAATGTTCTGTCTCTCTTTTTTTGATCCCTGTTCTCTTCTCCATATGATCTATCTTTGCTCCGGGACTCATCCTTCTCCTGTGCTCCTTGTTCCTTCCCCACAGTTTTCAGAAATTTGGGTTTCTGTTCTGGGTTTTCCCTGGGGAGGCCAGTAGTAGTCACACCAGTGACCAGTACAAGACACATAAGACCATTTCCATGCTCATGAAGCAACACCCAATGCTTCATTCCTGC